GTTCAAAGGGGACGGGGCCGGCTGCGACAGCGGGGGGCTGGCTGGCCAGCCAGCTCCACGCAGCCGTGTCAAAATCCCACAGCCGCTGCGCTCCCCATCTCCTTCCCCTCTGCCCAACTGCTGCCTGTGGGTCCTGGCAGCCCGGGCAGTGGGAATCCCAAAGATCCTGTCAACTTGGAGCCTCGCCTGGCTCAGCTAGAGTCGAGTATTTGGAATGAAGGGGAGAAGCTCCATCTAATTATAGGTTTTCCATTTCAGCCCTTGGTATTCCTTTAAGCAGACTTAAAATAACAGTTAGCTAACTTTTTTTCCCTAGCTTTGTAGTTTCATACATGACATTGTGCAGTACCCTTTATAGAAACCTCAAATATTTTTTTTGTCCGCCTACCACATTTTGTCTCTTTTTCCATCTGACAGATGTTTTTTTTCTGTGTTGCACAGGGCTCAGTACATAATTACTCTGTTGCAATAGCCTGAAGCCCCAGTCCTGTGATGGAGTCTGCTTGCACAGACTGATGTGTCCCTGTCATTTGTGTCCTGTGTAATTTTTTTTCCCTGGTGTTTTTGTTAACTCTAGTCTAAAAAAACTGCTCTAAGAAGCAATGAGCACCCAATCATTTGTGTGCCCTGAGACCATCTATTATAGCTTTTAGTATCTAGACCTGAAAATGCTTTTTTTTTTTCTTTTGTGCTTATCTCCCAGTCATGCACGGGCTGAATTCTCTCTGTTCTAGTTTACACCTTCTGGATATTTGCAGTTGGTCTTTGTTGTCCCAAGTCAACAACTAGTTAGTCTGTGTCTCTCTAGCCCTACATTTTTTTGGAGCCGGTTCTTTGCTTTCTGATCATATTGCTTGCTCGTCCTAAATTTCTGTCAATTTGGCAAGATCTGTTCTTGCTCTTGGTGTGATTTTTGTTCAGAGAGCAGCATCTCAGTGTGCCGGCGCGGTGTCCCAGGTGGGGGTACACTGGAGTGTTCCTGGTTGTTTCAATCCTTCTACCAGCTGTATTTCACTGAGCACTCATATATGAGTTACTGATTCTTAAGTCTCTTCTAATGGGAGCTCATGTAATTGCCTAGGTTTGCAAGTTCTGTGTTATTGGTCTGGAGTTTTATTCCCCAAACTTCCTTTTTGCATTTCAAATTCAAAGTTTACCCAGAACCTTCTCCTGGAACAATTTTGTCAAGCTTCCCACACCAAATAGCTCTTATTTTGACCACAATCTGTAGATGGGAGCATCCATGACTAAAACTTTCTGTCAAACTACAGTAGCAGAGAACATCTTTGATTTCCCAAAATAGTCATAGTAAAGAGACTCAGGAACAGCTGTTGGGAACGAGCTGCAGGGTTGGTTCAGTACTATGGGCTGCTCTGACTTCCACTGGCTTCACTGCATGCTCTGATCTCTAGATGTTCAATGCCGGGGGGTGCCTGGTTGGGATTTTTGGAGGTCGCAATAGTGAGAAGGAAGCCTTGCAAGGCATCATTCACCTTCTTCGTTTTGTGTTATACATGCGTGATCAGCTGGGAAGGTGGAGGGCAGGCACAGGCCAACCATGTGATGTAGAAATACTGAGAGAGAATGTTTCTGGGAATTATTTGGAATAACAACCTCATTTCCTCTTGGTACATCAGTTGTCATCCTTTAATGTTTTGGTATTGGCTTTTTTTAAATGCTGTTATGTATGTCATCCACTGTGCTTCCTGTATCCTGTGTTACTTGATGATAAACTTTTGTAAGATATCACTGTTAAGTTGCCTCAGACTTTGTAGTGATTAATTAAATTCTTTATTTCTCTCTTTTCAGTGTCAGAAGTTTATATGCATCAGTGGTACTTGCTCGAGAGTGACAGCAGAGATCAGCATTAAGTCTGTTCCTCTGGGTGAGTAATCTAACCCACCGCATCACTGATGTCTAATATCTACATATCTGCTTGTTTTTTTGCTTGATACCTTACACAACAGCTCCTTTAGGCTTTTATTTCAAATGTTATTAAAATGATGCTGTATACGGCTTCCAGCAGGAGCTGTAGAAGAATGTCATGCTGCTTCTGCTTGTATAGACATCCATTTATCTGGTATCTTTTAAAGGATAGCCATCACTTAACACAGTCTGAACTGCTGTTTAGATTCAGGGAGGCTTTCCACATTTTAAAGACAGTGGCTTTGGAGTTAACATATGGACTGTGGCAAAGTAATGAAGTATATTTTGATTATCCAAGAAATAAAACTGAAATGACCACTGGAGCTGTTCTGTGGCATATGATGGGCTCAAGCAGTGCCAGTGCTTCAGTACGAGGCCCACTGGACTTCCCATGCCTGCGTGATGCAGCTGTGCTGTGCATGTGCAGTTAATCTGACTTGGCAGGTCTATGGCAACGTGCAGAGAAGCTGCCAAGAGCTTTCAGATTACGGGGGCAAGTTTATGTGAAAACGCGTTCAACAAAATAGACTATCTGTTGCATTACCCCTTGGAAATGGCGCAGTTTAGTTGACTTCAAGGAGCGGCATTTTGCATTCGGTCTAGACTGATTGGATTCAAGTAGCCTAGCGCATGTCAGAGCTGGCAGCCTTGTCTTCGGAATGGTTATGCTTCATCTACTTTGTTTTGGATATTACAGTATGATCTAGCATGATTAGCGTCCTGACTTCCAACTGGCTCTTCATGTGGAGAGCTGGGTCAAGTTGCTGCATCTGCACTTCAGCGGTGCACCCCGTGGCTGGGATGTGCTTGCCTCGTAACACCACTGCTGAGGTCCCAGCTGCTTGCTGGGTGTCTCCTTCTGACTCATGTGGTTGCTCTGTTTCATACTGTGTACAAACGCTTGCCAAGACCCGCATCTCCTAGTATGCTGCATCCTTCATCGTGGCTTGCTGCCCTCCAACTGCTCTCATGTCTGAAACCCTCATCCTTGTCTTATCACTGGATGAAGAGCATGGCATTTGCTTGTACCATCCTCTCTGAGGTGGTGTGTGTTAGCCTGCCGGAGAAGCAAGTGTACCTCCTTTGCTGTGATGTATCTACATAAGGCTCTGGCCACTTACTTGTTCACCTGTCCAGGGCCCTTGACATTCTACCTATGTCAGCTGTCAGCTTCTGTCCCACAGCTGTACTGGACAGTCTTCTCGACTGCTGTCTTCGTGCTTCATAAGACTGTCTCCCCACTCCAGCTGGGACTTGCTGCCTTTTTGTCTGTGCTTTCTTTGGTGGATGGGTTGGATCCCCCTCCTGTTCCCCCACACACCATGTGCAGCTGCAGCCCGCGCACCCTGATGTTCCCTGTGCTGCCTCGGGGCCGGCTGAGATGGTCAGTGGTGGCTGCTGTTCCTCACAACATTTAAAAGCCTGTGACCCAAGAGGGTGCCCACCTTGCATGCACAGGTTTGCTGACAGAGACGTTGGGCTTTGGAGAGGACAGCAAGTACCTCCTCTGCTGCCCGGGACCGATGCCCCGTGTGCTGCCGCGGAGGGCTCGGGGCTCTCCTGGTTTTGGTCATTGCTGCTCCCTAGTGCCGTCCTGCATCCCTAGCCGTGCTGCAGGCCCGCAATATGCGAGGACTGGTGTCTCATTTAAACTGTTATTTCCCTTCTCTTCCTCCCTTTGGAGTGCCTCTTCTTGGACCTCCCACCCTTCCCACAGTAAATCACTGTGTGTGAACTCTCTGTGGGATTCACAGGCTGCCCAGGGTCTCGCACTGGACCTGGAAAGAAGTGGGTGTTGTTCCCTGTTTGTCAGGAACCCTGAACTCCAGTGCCAAATGCTTTTATTCCCTGGGTTTTTAGTCAGAGGTCTGCTGGCTCCAGCAGTGGTTATCACCTATTGTCTCCTATTCTGGTCACATTTCTTCATTTTTATTGCTGCTTATCAGAGTTGCTGGGATTACACTTCAGCTGGCCCTGCACTTCAGCTGGATTTGAGTCAGTTGTGGCTGTAAAAACATTGTTAAAAGTCCGATGTTGGCTGGAAGCCACGTTCTGCTGGATGTGTGTTTAGAGACTTTCAATCTGCTGGCATCACCATGCAAATGTCTTGCCTTCACTGGAAGTCTCTACCTCTTCACTCTCCAGATGCTGTGCTGGTTTCCCCTCCCCAGGAGCAGCAGAAGTTTTGGGACCTAAATCCGCTTTGTTTTCCCTGTCACTTGTGCTGTTGCTCCTGGGAAGGGGTGCGTGTCCATGTCCATCCTAGGCTGTAGTAGCAGGTGCTCAGTCCTCCTTTCTCCGTTCCCATAGCTCTGGTACTGGCGTGTTTCTGGTATTTGGAGGCATGCTGTTCAAGTCAGACCCGTTGCCCTCAGCAATCGGTCCGGAAAGCTGGATCTGATTTCTCCGGCTGCTGCTTGCTTTCACCATTAAACAAACAAATAAGAGCCTCTCCTAACAAGATGGCAAGAAATCCCTGTGCCTGACTCAGCATTGACAGGAGCAGTGGGCTGTGTTTCAGGCTTCTGTCTGCTTCTCCCAGCCAGGGGCAGGAACACAGGCTTTCTCCTTGTGTTGCACCAAGTTCAGCCCAGATGTCTGAGCTCTGATCTCGCCACACAGAATACGCCGATGTGTTTCAAGTGGAGTTTCGGTGTCTGCCTGCTGCCTCTATTTAGCCATAGAAGCATGGATTCCCATCCTGTTGTTCCCTCCCTAGCAAGCACTGTGTTAAACATGGTGCTGACAGTCCAACCATGGCCCACGGTAAGGCAATGTGTATAAATAATCCAGAGAAGCTAAATAAGGCTTTTAAGATAAGACTTAGCAGAGAGAGCTGCTTTAGTGTGGTGCCATGAAGACACAAAAACCTGGCTATGTCCGTGTAGCCAGATCCAATCATAATTCCTGCGGCTGCTGCTCTTTCCTAGCAAAATCTGTGTAGATTTTCAGGTACCTCTTCACCTCGCTCCACCAGTTCTTGGGACTGCTTTGAGTTAAAGTCTGCACTCAGTGGCAGCAGATTGTCTGGGTGTCCAAAGCTGAGATGGAGCATGCACATGCAGCACTGAAATAGCACATGTCCAGTCCACTCTGTTACAGGGTCTGTGTGCAAAAGGCAAAAATTAGTATTTGTTAGGGTTTTTTTTTTTTCCCAATGTCACATTGAATATGGGAGGGAAAGAAGTACAAGGCTACTTCTGTGTATGTCTCATTGTGTTTATTAGCACTTGATGATGTGTCCTGCAGGGTCTAGCCCACACACAGCTTCTCTTGGGCTTTTAATAGTTGTGCTAAACTGAAATATGCTCAAAATAGTAATAATTTAAATCGTTTCCCCAGAGCCTGTGGCTGCTTTGTATGTTTATGGGAGGTGTAACACTGCCTGCAGTTGGGGCGCAGGGGGGCCCCAGGCCACCCCCAGTCCCATTCCTGCCTGGCTGCTGGAGCAGAGGGGTTGTGGTGTGCGTGCCGGGGCAGGCATGGGACACAGGCCCATTGGGGCCAGGGCACGGGAGTGTGGCAGGCGTGGGGCATGGCACGGCTCACGCTGCCACAGCTTCAGGGTGTGTAGTACGGGGGTATTGCCTTCATGGTGATGTGTTACCCGAGACTGCTGCACAGCAAAGGGTCCAAGTGCAAGGTAAAATTCCTCATTTGTAGGAAATGTGGTGCCTTCCCCTTGCTCAGACCTCCTCCTGCCATAACCCAGTATGTTGTCAGAGCAGTATTAGGGCATTAAATGACGTGGGGGTTCTGACGTGAAAGGCCAGTTTTGACCTGACTCACTGCTGGGTTCGGCAAGAGTTAAAACCGCAGATCTGTGTGTTTATTTTTGAGTTAACATTTCTCTTTTGTGAATGATACCTCCTCTCCCGTGTAAGCCCGTCAGCTGAGCAATGATCCTCAAACTGGAGAGGATGGGGAAGGAGAGTGCCACCCTGGCAAGCGTTGGTGGGGATGGAAGGAGGGAGGATTCTTCTGGTTGTTTTTTCCTCCCTTTCTTCAGAGAGGCAATATTGCTGCTTGCAGAAAGCAGTATATTATTACCCTTTTGCTCTTCACATTTTGTGTGATGTGGTTTGGGTAATGTTAATGTAACTTAATGTTATGCTCACCCACAGTACTGATGGTGGCTCTCTAATATACATAAATCTCTGCAGAGAGAGAGGGAGTTGTATTTTTCTGTAAATCGTTAGCATACTGCCCTGTTTATCTAGCATGTGATCTCTCTGTTGCTCGCTGCATTTCCGTGCCTCCCTCCCATCCGGTCCTTTTTATTTAATTGACTTTCCCAGTCCTGACAGTCACTTTATATTCAGAAAACATAAATTCATCCCCCACAAAGCTTTCAAATCTAATTTAATTTCTTCCCGTACTTCTTGGAGAAATTATTTTTGCTCTCTTCAAGACTGAGAAAGTACATTTTCCCTGTTTATTTAGGCAAGCTTATTTTTGTCTGCAGAAACCTGGGCAAATGATACGTTTCTTTTCTTGCATTTATAACCCTGTGAGGCTTATGTATTGGGAATAATCTTTGTGAGCTGGAAGAAGATTGTCCAATCTGTTTTAAGATGTCCCACTTTCTGAGTACTGCATCTCATTAGGAATACAGTTGGCTGTTTGCATGGCTTTTTTTCTTCCCCTATATAGCTTGGGGGAGAAAAAATATCATTTCATCATCTAGTAATAATGCTTGGCACTTTGTTTGCATCTTCAAAGAACTATACGGCTATGAATGGAATAATTTCTATAACATTGTGTAGTAGTTTCTAATTATTATTTGCCCCATTTTACAGATGGGGAAAATGAGTAAGAAGTCAAGTGATTTTAGGCCATGAGAGAAGAAGCAAAATCAACTTGAGGTCCCGGCTCCCTGACTCGTACTAGAACAGCACCACACCTCTTTCTTGTTTAAACTAAAGTGGGGGGGGGAAGGAAAGTTTGATTCCCATCAGC